TACGAAGGTTTGTCCATCCGCCTTAGCAACCGGAAGCAGTAGACTTTGTGACACCACCTGTCGTATACTGTTGAAGCACCTGCATTTCAGAAGATTTCCAGCCTCATTTGTCGTATAAACTGATTCTCCCACTTTTCCCATAGCCTTTCTCCTTTAAAGGTATCCCCATTCAGACTGGACTCTAGATAAATCTCAGCTGAGACTTCATCTGTTATGTGACGTACACCATGATTTACGATAAGTCATCAAGCATAAAGACAAGAAAAGTGAGCGTCTACAATCCTGCCTACTTTTATAGCTTTTATTTTGTATGAAAGTAGAGTTTCAAGACTACCGGTGAATCAGTAATATGAGATGTATTCACCCTTTTTCATAAAAGGTGATGAAGGAATGGTAGAAGAAGAATTTTCCCACAATGATATGAGTTGAGCTGACGTTTCCATTGAATTTCACAGAGCCTTGCTTTCCCTATGCGAGGACGAAGCTGCAGTCCACCCTGGATGAGAAGAACTTTTGGGAAAGCAAGACTATGTGAAATTCAATGGAAACGTGAGCTCTACTCATAACATTGTGGGAAAATTATACTATCAGTCGTTCATCACCTTAAACAAAATATGGTGAATACATCTAATATTACTGATTGACTGGAAGTCTCGAAAATCTATTCACATTCGAAAAATAAGTAACTTAGTCGATTGTTAGAGCAAATATACGTTTGCTTCATCGACAATCCCAACAAAGAATATGATATGATAAAAGGTCTGGCCTTCCTTGAAATGCACATCTGTCCTTTTTGACACGAGGGGACTCGTGACAATTTGGCCGAGCGGTTAACGTGTCAAGCTCACATTTTGCACTGTCACGGTTCGACTCCTGCTGGGGGTGTTGATAAGACCAATGCGAGGTCGAAACTGCAGTCCACTTTTGGGAAATCAAGGCTATGTGGAATTGAGTGAAAGCGTCAGCTCAACTCACATCATTTTGGGAAAATTTTACCACTATTCCTTAATTACATTTTACGAAAAAGGGTGAATACATCTCATATTAGGTTCACTTTTTTAGACATCTCATGATTTTGATGGAGGCCCCGTGTTTTTCCTACATGCTGTTGAAAAGTCAAGTAGCGGCGGATGGCATGTGAAGTGGCCGCAATTGAAGTGTGAAATTAATGCATTTATGACCGAACAGCTGCATTCTTTCATACAAAACTTATCTTTGTAATGAGATGTATTCACCATATTTCGTCTAAGGTGATGAAGGACTGGTAGTAGAATTTTCCCACAATGTTTTAAGTTGAGCTGACGTTTACATTGAATTTCACATAGCCTTGCTTTCCCAAAAGTTGTTTTCATCCAGGGTGGACTGCATTTTCGACCTCACATTGGTCTTATTAAGACCCTTAGCGGGAGTCGAACCGCGACAGTGCAGGACGGTAGCTTGACACGCTAACCACTCGGCTACACTG